AGTGGATAAAAAAACAAAATCCATCTACTTGCTGTCTACAAGAGACTCATTTTAGACCTGAGGATACCTTCAGACTGAAACTAAGGGGATGGAGAAATATCTATCATGCTACTGGAAATCAAAAGAAAGCTGGAGTGGCTATACTTATATCAGACAAACTGGACTTTAAAGTAAAGGCAGTAGAAGGGATAAAGAAGGGCATTATATAGGAATTATAGGGTCTTTGCATCAGGGTGAGCTAACAATTATAAATATCTATGCACTGAATATGGGAGCACCCAAATACATAAAACAATTAATCACAAACAGAAACAATCTTATAGGTAAGAATGTGCTAATAGCAGGGGACTTTAGTACTCCACTTACAGCAATGGATAGACAGAAATCACTAAAGAAACAATGAACCTGAATGACACACAGGGCCAGATGGATTTGGCAGATATATTTAGAACTCTACATCCTGAGGCCATGGAATTCACTTTCTTCTCAAGTGCACATGGCACACTCTCCAAGATAGATCACATACTGGGGCACAAAGCAGCCCTCAATAAATACAAAAGAATTGAGATCATACCATGATCATACCATGCACACTTTCAGATCACAATGCTATGAAACTTGAAATCAACCAAAGGAAGAAGTCTGAAAGACCTCCAAAAACATGGAGGTTAAAGAACACCACACTACAGAATGAATAGGTCAGTTAGGCAACTAGAGAATAAATTAAAAAATAATGGAAACAAATGAAAATGAAAATACAACAATTCAAACTCTATGGGATGCAGCAAAGGCAGTCCTAAGAGGAAAGTACATTGTACTCCAGGCCTATTTCAGGAAACAAGAAAAAGCGCAAATACAAAATCTAACAGCTCACCTAACGGAATTAGAAGGAGAGCAACAAGAGCACCCCAAACCCAGTAGGAGAAGAGAAATAATAACTATCAGGGCAGAAATAAACAATATACCATCCATAAAAACAGTTGAATAGATCAATGAAAACCAGAGTTGATTTTTTGAAAAAATAAACAAAATTGACAAGCCAGGCTTCTCAAAAAGAAAAGAGAGAGCACCCAAATAGACAAAATCATGAATGAAAAGGGACTTATTACAACCAATCTTCAGATATACAAGCAATTATCAGGGAATACTATGAGAAATTATATGCCAACAATCTGGACAGCTTTGAAGAAATGGACAAATTTCTCAACACACACTCACTACCAAAATTCACACGGGAAGAGATAGAAAATCTGTACAGACCCATAACTAGTGAAAAAACTGAATTAGTTATCAAAAATCTCCCAACAAATAACAGCCCTGTGCAGATTGCTTCCCTGGGGAATTCTACCAGACATTTAAAACAGAATTAATACTCATCTTCTCAAGCTATTCCAAAAAATAGAAATCGGAGGAAACCTTACGGACTCATTCTATTAAGTGAGCATCATTTTGATTCTCAAGCCAGACAGAGACATAGCAAAAAAATAGAACTACAGGCCAATATCCTTGATGAATACCGATGCAAAAATCCTCAACAAGATACTAGCAAATCGAATCCAGCAGCACATAAAAAGAATTATCCCCCATGATCACATGGGATTCATTCCTGGGTTTCAGGGCTGGTTCAATACTTGCATTAATCAATGTGATACAGTACATGAACAAAAGAAAAGATAAAAACCATATGATCCTGTTGATAGATGCAGAAAAAGCATTTGACAAAATACAGCATCCCTTCTTAATAAAGACCCTCGAGAAAGTCGGGATAGAAGGAACTTACTTAAACATCATAAAAGCCATCTATGAGAAGCCCTCAGCTAACATCATCCTCAACGGGGAAAAACTGAGAGCTTTCCCCCTGAGATCAGGAAAATGACACGGATGTCCACTCTCACCACTATTGTTTAACATAGTGCTGGAAGTCCTAGCATCAGCCATTAGTCAACAAAAGGAAATCAAAGGCATCAGAACTGGCAAAGAAGAAGTCAAACTTTCACTTTTCGCAGACGAAATGACACTGTACATAGAAAACCCGGCAGACTCCACCAGAAGCCTACTAGAACTGATCCGAATTCAGCAAAGTTGCATGGTACAAAATCAAAGTACAGAAATTGGTTGCATTTTTATGCACCAATAATGAAGCAACAGAAAGAGAAATCAAGAAACTGATCCCATTCATAATTGCACAAAAAGACATAAAATACCTAGGAATAAGCCTAACCAAAGATGTAAGATCTGTATGATGAAAACTATAGAAAGCTTATGAAGGAAATTGAAGAAGACCCAAAGAAATGGACAAACATTCCAAGCTCATGGGTCAGAAGAATAAGTATTGTTAAAATGTCACTACTAACCAAAGCAATCTACACATTCAATGCAATCCCAATTAAAATTACACCAGCATTCTTCTCCAAACTAGAACAAACTATCCTAAAATTTTTATGGAACCACAAAAGACCCCAAATAGCCAAAGTAATATTGAAGAAGAAAGCCAAAATGGGAGGCATCACCATCCCAGACTTTAGCCTCTACTACAAAGCTGTAGTCATCAAGACAGTATGGTATCGGCACAAAATCAGACACATAGACCAATGGGATAGAATGCAGAACTCAGAATTGGACTCACAAATGTATGGCCAACTAATCTTTGACAAAGAGGGAAAGAGTATCCAATGGAAAAAAGCCAGCCTCTTTAACAGATGGTGCTCGGAGGACTGGACAGGAATCTGCAGAAGAATGAAACTAGATCATTTTCTCACAGCACACACCAAAATAAACTCAAAATGGATAAAGGACCTGAATGTGAGACAGGAAACCATCAAAACCCTAGAGGAAAAAGCAGGAAACAACCTCCTTGACCTTAACTGCAACAATTTCTTACTTGACACATCCCCAAAGGGACGGGAATCAAGAGCAAAAATGAACTATTGGGAGCTCATCAAGATAAAAAAAAAAAACAAAAACAAAAACAAACAAACAAACAAAAAAAAAACACTTGTGCACAGCAAAGGAAACAATCAATAAAACTAATAGGTAACTGATGGAATGGGAAAAGATAGTTGCAAAGAACATATCAGATAAAGGGTTAGTATCCAAAATCTATAAGGAACTCACCAAACTCCACACCCAAAAAACAAATAGTCCAGTGAAGAAATGGGCAGAAGATATGAACAGACACTTCTCCAAAGAGGACATCCAGATGGCCAACAGACACATGAAACGATGCTCACCATCCCTCCTCATCAGGGAAATACAAATCAAAACCACACTGAGATACCACCTCATGCTGGTCAGAGTGGCTAAAATGAACGAATCAGGACACTCTAGATGCTGGTGAGGATGTGGAGAAATGGGCATCCTCCTACACTGTTGGTGGGAATGTAAAACTGGTGCGGCCCCTCTGGAAAACAGTGTGGAGGTTCCTAAGAAAATTAACAATAGAAGTCCCCTGTCACCTAGCAATAGCACTGTTAGGACTTTACCCAAGGGATACAGGAGTGCTGATGCAGAGGCGTACATGTACCCCAATGTTCATAGCAGCACTCTCAACAAGAGCCAAAACATGGACAGAGCCTAAGTGTCCATTAACAGACGAATGGATCAAGAAGATGTGGTTTATCTATATAACGGGATATACTACACGGCATTGAGAAAGAATGAAATCTGGCCATGTGTAGCAACATGGATGGAACTTGAGGCTGTTAGGCTTAGTGAAATAAGTTAGGCAGAGAAGGACAGATACCATATGTATGCACATATAGGTGGATTAGGAGGAACTTAACAGAAGACCATGAGGGAGAAGAAGGGGAAAAATAGTTGGGAAGAGGGAGGGAGGCAAACCATGAGAGATTCTTCAATGCTGAGAACAAACTGAGGGGTGATCGGGATGGGGGAGAGTGAAAGGGAGGTGATGGGCATGGAGGAGGGCACTTGTTGCAATGAGCACTGGGTGTTATATGTAAACCAACTTGACAATAAACTAAGAAAAAAAACTTGGAAAACCTCAATCTCCGAAGAATGGTGCTCTCCTTTGTATATGATATTGTATATAACTTTGTTGTAATTTACTGGCATTAGTTTCCAAAGCGAAGGAAATGCTATATCAGCTCTCCTGTCACATAATCATGCCATTATCATGCCATTATAAGGCTTTTAAAATTCATATAAAATGCAAGCCATTAAAAAAATTGATTTGTATTTAATTCATTTATAATTTGCTCAACTTAACTGGTTTCAAGAATAAACTGAAGTCAATAACATACTTATCAACTCTCCCCAAAATATTACTTGTAGTGAAAGTCACAGTTTCTAATCAAGTATGTTTTAATATACATTTGCATAATGCTGTAAAAATAAGAAGTTTTTTTATGTTCTGTAAGCACTGTTAGACACCATTTCTTTAAATAATAGATTACAATTTTCTATTTCTATCTTTGACCATTTGAAGTGCTATGGGCGAGTTACTTTACATTCTGGGGTATCAGTTTCCTCCTCTGTAAAGTGAATAAAATAGTAATATCTACCTCAGAGAGTTGCAAGCATTGGATAACACGTATAGAGGAAAATAGCACAGCTCATTATACACAGTAAACTATCATCTTCTTAATTTAGTTCACCTTCTTTTAGATTAAATATTTAGCTAGCTCCATATGAGCTATCTCCATAGAGATCATGAAAAACACACATCATTTCTGAATTTTTTATGGCATGGCATAACTTTGGCAGTGTCCATCAGCAACCTATTTACCTACAGACATATGAGGCCACCATTCAAAATAATTTCCATGAAGAAGAAAATCAGAAGTTACTGTTAAGAGCTTCAGAACACCACATATATATTTTCTTGTTCAGAATCCATTTTCAGTACTGACTAGAAAGAGTAACTTAGAGTTATCAAGGGGAGATATCAAGTGGCAGGAGTATCTTAAAGTTCCAAAAAAGACAAAAGAGGAAGTGGCCTTCTAGAATGTAGCCAACAGTTAAATCATTCATATACCTACTGGATTAAGTTCAGTGACATCCCATTCAAGGTACTCTGCGACATGCATCATCTGACTGATTATATTTTCTAGTTCCTGGAGAGGAGAGAGAGAGATATGAAAGAGAGAGAGACAGAGATAATGGATAAGTAAGTTGTAAGTTTCTCAAACTTTGACTTAGAAGAACTGTTTTGTTTAACATGTAGCTCAAAAACTAAAGGAGTTAAATGATTAACATATATATATTATATATACTTTTTATATATACAGTAATTTATATATACATATAATATATCCTTTTAACAGGCTGATTAACTATGCATAGAAGATGCATTTGAGTATAAATTCATTTTGTATTTTTTCTAGAAAACTTCACCAGGAGAGGGCACAACTGCACAAAAAAAGATTTTCTTCTAATAGAAGATTTTTTGAGGACGGAAATCTGTCTTGGGAAAGAATATCTGATCAAAGAAGGGGCATGCATATTTTCACAAGATGTGATGTTTAAGTCACCAAGTATCCTGACCCTATGGCTTGGAAACAGGTGTGCAAGGAAGAAAGGAAATGTTTGAGGGCAACTGAGAGGTTTATTTTTATTCTGATACACTGAGAATGTATATTGACTGTTCTAGCCATTAATTGGTATAATTTGCTCTGCTAGAAGTGTGCTCAAGGGTCAAGGTTTAGAAGCTAAGTACATGTAAAGTTTATTTTATGAGGAAATAGAATTTTAGTTAGAATCTTCATATGATTCTGCTCAAGTGTCAACTCTTTGAAGAATGGCTAGTTAATAAATATGACTTGACTAAATAAATTAAAACATTTGCTCATACCTATTTTTTAATGCTATAATTGTTTCCTATCTCCAGAATAGATTAAACATGCTTTGTAAATGCTAGTAATTTTAAATGTAGTCAATGACGTAATTAAAAGTGATGTTACAGTATAATAATTTAAAACATAAGAAGTATTAAAGAATAATGTTTGAAAGGATATTAATCAAAGATTATTCTACTCAAATCTCCGATCTAATATATCTACTTAACATTCATAAAGGGAAGAAGAAAACATGGTAAAAGAGGTTTTCTTTTGAGAGATAATGGATCCCTCTGAAAAACTGATGAAAGCTACCCTCCCACTCTCCAGAAAAAAAAGTAATCATGAAAATGTTATTTATGTAACACAGGTTGCCCCAGAAAAACATACAAATATAAATGTGTTCACTTATTACAGATAAGAAAAATGTTAAACTAATTTACCTCGCAATTACAGGCTAGAATTGTGCATGTGCATGCGTGCATGCATGTGTATGTATTACTCTACCTTTGCCTACACATGCCCAAATGGTTTAGAATGGTTAACATCCCTGGATATGTTTTTAGGAAGAGAAACTATTTTTAGTGGAGTATTATGCAGCCATGTGACATTAGATAAGTCAATTAACCTAAGATTCGATTTCCTCAGTAAAATCAGTATTCTAATCTTACCTAGTTTGTAGAGTTGCTACAAAGAGTAAACATGTTATGATATGAAATACATTTATGTCAACTGGCATAGTGCTGGAATCAATTAACAAGCATTACTACACATAGTGGTCATTTTTCAAAGTATCAATTTTCCTATGCTTTGCTTCCAATATGTGAAGTGCTATACCTTTAAATTGCAAGACAGATTACATCAGCATGTACAATTCCAACCTGACAGTGAAGGCAATACAGTGGGGTAGTAAGTTGTGTGGAGAAAACCACAGAAATAAAATGCAGACCCTTAATTACAAAACAGACTAGTGGAATTATAAATACATTTATTTATCCCCAATTCATTGTTTAATATTAGATGTATAGTTATAAATACTGCTGGCAATATACTATACGTTTATAACAACAACAAAAATGGCCAGAGACCAAAAAAAAGCATTCGACTGAATTTCCAAATCAACTGCCAAACCATGGCTAAAAGTCTAGTAAAGAAACATCCTTTTAATTTAATTCAACAGAAACATTAAATAAAACAAATTTGCATTTAAATATAATTTGTATCAATATAGTCAGAAGTGCTACAATAAGCATATGGAAATATCTAGAAAAGTCTAAACTCCTAGCTGTGAAGTGCCACCAGAAAATGAGCAAATGCATCATGTAACTTAATATTCCTAAATGGAAAACTGGATACTATCAGGCACTTAAAAATGATAGCATTTGAAACATTGGAGAACTTACATATAAGAAATCCTACAATCACAGCATCAATCTAAATTGGTGGTCATTTCCTAAATTAGGAATTATACATTTTTATCTCTCTCTGGAGAAGCTAATGTGCCATTACTATACTCAGTATTATATAAATATGTATCCAACTTCACTGCTTTGCCTGTAGAATTGTTTGAGTTCCGCTAGAGGGAGGTATATGAGACAATGAGAGAAACTTACTCATTATCAGAAGTAATGCTCATTTGAATCAATTTAAAAATATCAAAACATTTTTAGTATAACTGTGTACTTCAAAATTTCCATAACCTGAAACTTATCATTTTATTAATATTCTTATATTTCCTTTACAGAATAGGCAATGATATAACGTGAAAAATAAATTATTAGGAAATATAAATACATTAGTGGATGGAACTCAAAATGGATTTACATTTGAGGCACTGGTTTGTACAGTAAAATTAAGAATCTAACTACTCCTCTGGAAACTATCACTTATTTGTGTGTATTACAAATACAATAAACATTTAATTATTCCTTTCAATTATGTCATGCAGAGATATTTTTCTCCTATTCCTTTCTATAAATAAAATGATAAAGAATGCAGGTTGCATTTAAATTGGATGAGACGTTTTAAAAAGGGAAGTTTGTCAAAGCGATTTGTAAATATATGTATGTATTTTAACAGCATATATATATGACTATAAGACTTAAAAATGTGGTAAAATGATAACATGATTAAATTGACTTTATAATTCCTTTTAATTCTATTGGTATTCTCGATATTTTCCTTAATGTCAAACCTCTGATTTTTTTTTTTTTTTACTTTCTAGATCAATGGTCTCAACTTTCTCATGTATTATTCACACAAGGTTAGATTTTTTTAATCTTTCCATGCATAAAATGTCACTTTTTTCCTAGTAAAATAATTCAATAGAACAACTCTAATCCTAACAGCTTTTTGAGATCATTCTCTTTCAAAAATTCAGATGATAAAAATGCTGTGTGAGTGCATGGAAATTATATTAAGTGTGTCTTCTGTGGTAATAGCTATAAATTTATTCATTGCATTTTTTAGAAGAAATTGCTTTGAAATTTTCACAGAAAATTTGAAGAAAAAAAATTACCGAGCTGTCCAGGAAGCCATTCCCATCTGTGTCATAGAGGCGAAACATAACTAGAAATAAAAGAGGTGTTGAAAAAAAAATATATAGGTGAGTGAGATCAATGTTAGGATAAGATGGATTTTCCAAAATTTATTTTCTGTTGAAAGCAAATATTCAATTCTCTCCTACTCAAAGCAATTCATCTGTGGGATCATTTCTTAAACTAATTTGCAAATGGATTCATCAGTTAATAAAAATACAAAATATCAGATATAAGGTATATCAATTTTTATATATATAGAAAACACTAAGAGGTACTATTCTTTGACCATTATTTTTTGTTAATTACAAGACCATTAAATGAAAACTCAAAGATAAAAGAAAGAATTTAGACATTCAGAGTCCAGATATTAAAGAGCAGAGTGAATAAGAAAAAACATCTGATTTGGAGGTATGTAAATCCAAATTTGGAATCTCCAATCCACTAGTACATGAACATAGTCAAACATTATTTTATTCTCTGTAAAATGAGAATAACTACCCTGTCATGAGATACACTTGTGAAAATAAGTGAGGGGATGCACATAAATGCATATCAAAACTTGTAGGTCACTACACAAATATAAGCCCTTGTTGTGATTGATCCCTAAGCAGCATGGGAAAGGATTAGAGCAAACTAAGGGATTTTTTCTGATGGAGGACAACAAGATACAAAATCCATTATTACCACGGTTATAGTGGTGTATTTGTTGCAATCTGAGAGGAAGTTCCATAGAGTACCCACTCTTTGAACTAATGAAGTCAGGAAGAGTTGTCTCTGGTAGCGAGCACAGGAAACCCAGAGGACAGTGGGTCTCAGTGGCCTGAGGATTCCCACATAAATTCACATACCACCAGGAGACCACAGAAGAGGCTGCAGGTGCCATTTTGAGATAAACAGAGAAGACTGACACAGCTGTTAAAACAGAGGGGTGGAAGTGAGAGCTTTTGTTGGGTTTGCATAATTTCTGGGAGAATCTTGATGTCTGAGGTCTATCATATTAAATAAAGACATTGATAACAAGGAGGCATAATTATGCAATGCCCTTGATCATATATCCGTAATTATTATTTTTGTATTTAAAAACAATCATTATATTTCACCAATCTAAGATATGATTATTTATTTGTAAGATGTATAAGCAGTCTGCATACAACTAACTGGAAAAAATGTTTGCACTGTAACTATCCTATTCTATTTATTGTACAATGTGAAAAGACTTTAAAGATGTTAAAATGTAAGGGGAAAATGTGTACCTATTGAATTAAGGAACATAACATTAGGCTGGCTAGCGATGTAAATATTTTTATTTGAAAACCATGATGATTACTTTCTCTCATATAGTTAATAAATGACAAAAATTCAGAAAGAAAAAATCCTACCACAATATGGATACTAATCATTTCTAGATATTCTAGTAAAGCAGAAAATAGTAAAAATTACTTGTTAAGTGGCAGGAATTCATTCACATATCACCCAAAGAATGGGTTCAGTACAAGGAACAAGGCAAAGACTTACAAAAGACTAGGTGTATTTTTTTTAAGTTTATTTGTTTTCTGAGAAAAGGGGGGCAGAGAGAGAGACAGAGAGAGACCCAAGTAGGCTCCCTACTGTCAGTGTAGATACCAATGCAGGACTGGGACTCATGAACTTTGAGATCATGACCTGAGGCAAAGTCAGGTGGCTTAACCAACTGAGTCACCCAGTCACCCCCAAGCATGACTATATTTTAGAATGAGGGATACTGGTGATTCTATTAATCCTTATTGTAATAAATGATTGCTAAACCATTTTCAGATGGCCAGGTATATGGAAACCCTATACTTCTTGGTAAACCTTGTTGGAAACATGATCTAAAAACATACACACAAGTGGACTCTGTGTAGGGTGTATCTGCCATTTATTTTTGGGACCATTTGGAACTTCTTTCTATGTTCTTAAAGCCACACTTTATAAAGCACAGTAACAGATGACTTGAAGGTAGAGTTTGCACATGACCCAGGCTCTACTAATCAGAAGAAAAACCTTGTTAATCAATCAGATGCTAGTGACCCAAGAAGAAATGGGCTACACAAATTCATTCTGGTGATGTGAGGCAGCAGTAGCAGTAGCTGTGGTCAGAGAGAGAGAGAGAGAGAGCTTCGAGCCTTGCATGTGCCAGAACTGTTGGCAATGAACGGTGCTTTCCCTCTGCACACAGAGGCAGCAATGGGATTTTTCCAACGCCCAATTCTGTACTGAATTTCACCAGTGATCCTAGAGAATTATCCTCCAAGTCTGGTTCTCTGCCTCTTCTAATAATTCTGTATGTTCCTCGATATCATTTAAAAAACAATAACCAGCTTTATTAAAAATCAAATTAATTAGGGCTCCTGGGTGGCTCAGTCAGTTGATCCTCAGACTCCGGCTCCAGTCATAATCTTGCAGTTCATGGGTTCAAGCCCTTCATCGGGCTTAATCCTGTCAGCATGGGGCATGCTTAGGATAATCTGCCCCCATCTCTCACTGCACCGTTCCCCCGCTTATGCTCTCTCTCTCCCCCCCACCTCTCTATCTGTCTCAAAAATTAAACCTTAAAAGTTTTTAAACATAGGGTATTTTAAAAAATTAAATTAAATGGAATTAATAAAAAAATTAACCTGTTTTTCTGTCTTGCCTAGTGATATTGTACTCTCAACATTGGTACTTACTTCACATCAGACATAAAGAATAGATCAAAATAAATTTTAAGTCAAATTAAACTTAAACTTTAAAAAATGTGACTAATTTTAACATTAAAGCTAAACTATAAAGCTTCTAGAAGAAAATACAGGAAAATATTTTGACAGTCTTAAGGTAAGCCAACATAAACCATCAATCATTTTTTTAAATAAGTAAATTAAGCTTCATTATATTAGAACTTCTGCTCATCAAAAAGATAAATAAGTGAAAGAAAGAAAAAAGAAAGAGGAAAGAAAAAATAAGTAAAAAAATAAGCCAGCCACAGATTTGAGAACACATATGTCCAATAAAGGGCTCATTTCTCAAATATATTAACAAACTCTATAGCTTAGTAATAAGATGACAACCCAAATAAGAGAGAGGCAAAAATACTGAACAGATACTTCAAAAATGGAAGAAACATGAATGATCAGTTAAAATAAAGTGCTCAAGATCATCAGTCATAAACAAAGTTAAAATGTAAACCACAGGGACCTCCATAAATCTAACAGAAAGACTCTGGAATTCTATTTTCTCCCCAAGATCCATCTCCCCAAACTGCTCATCTTCTCAGTCTTAGCTGTTTAAGAATTTACAATTTAAAGAGTGGCAAAAGCCTGGTGACTCTCTCCTAGAAATTTGACCTACAAATCCAACATGCCTGGATAATTCTCTGAAATTTTCAAACAAATTAAAAAAAAATACCACGTTCAAATTTTCTAGTTGTTCCAAATAGAGATGTTGGTCTGAAAACACATTGCTCGTTATTGTTTAAAGTAGAAGTCCTGACATCTTTTGAATAATTTCTAAGTACAATAACAAGGATTTATGGTTGCTTATAATTCTGTTTAGTTCATCAAGGAAAAACGTGAAAAATAAAAGTTCTAGTCAATAAGAATAGCAATCATCTACATGCAAGCATATATTAAACACTAAATCTAACATACTCTAAATCTGACCAAGTCTAAATCAAGAATATTTTTCTTTTTTCTTTCTTTTTTTTTTGATCCTTAATGAAAGAGAGAAATTCTAGGATTTTAGTTTTCAGAGGTAAGTCTGTTTTCCTAATCTAAAATTATAGTGGTACCATGCAAAATATGAAGTATTAAACACTTATCTACAGTGACTGCCTATTAAAGTGCCACTATAGGGGGCGTCTGGGTGGCTCAGTTAGGTAAGTGTCTGACTTTGGCTCAGATCATGATCTCGCAGTTCATGGGTTCAAGCCCCACATCAGGCTGTGTGCTGATGGCTCAGAGCCTGGAGCTTGTTTCGGATTCTGTTCCTCCCTCTCTCTCTGTCTCTCTCTCTCTGCCCTTCCTTGGCTTTCACTGTCTCTCTCTCAAAAATAAATAAATATTAAAAATTAAAAAAAAATAAAGTGCCACTGTAGTAATAGTAATGTTGAAATAGACATAAATCAGGGCACGTGGGTGACTCAGTTGGTTAACTGTCTTATTCTTATTGATTTTGGCTCAGGTCATAATCACAGTGCTTTAGATCAAGCCCCACCTCTGGCTCTGCACTGACATTGGACAGCCTGCTTAGGATTTTCTCCTGCTCTCGTTTGGTCTCTCCACCACTCCCTCAAAATAAATAAATAAACATCTAAAAAAACCGAGAAAATTGGCATAAATCAACAAGCATAAGGAAAATGTGAGAGGAAAAAAAAATAGAAGTTGGAAAACACATGTTGACTGACTTAGAAATCAGAGAAATATAAATGCAAGCTGGTAGTGAAGAAGCAGCAAAGATTTGCACAGCAAGGGTGATGAGATGGAAAACTAAGTGATAATCTTCATGTAAAGAAGTTAGATCCTCAAATACGACCCTTCATACCATTTGCCTAAGAGTATGCCAGCTCCCTACCTCAGCAGAAGAGTGGACGCTTGGGCTCTAAAGCACACAAACCAAGGGGATGCTGAGCTCAGGGTGCTTAAGACTATGATGATAGGGACACTATGCCAAAAACAAGGTGTTTATGTGAAAATCTATATACTGAATATTAAGAGCATAATCCCTTTACTTATCTCCAGTGAGTCACAATTAAACCTCACCCCCACCCCCACCCACCCCCACACCAAGGAGTCCTTCCAAAACAAGTAATTTGGGGAAGAAAAACAATAAGGCAGGGAGGCAGAATAAAATCTTATAAGAGGAAAATTGTAATCCACAAAATGAGAAGAGGAACAGATAAGAATCATGCTGAGAACAAAATGAATCCTCTGTGAAGTTCAAAGCATAGGAAAAGTAAAATAAAAACCTATCACAAATTTAGATGTTCCAGATGTCAAAAAGAAAAAAAAATACATAGGAGAAAATAAGTTGGAA